AGCTGACGGCCAGAACGCTGCAGAGGAAAGGTGGGTCCGGTCCGAAGTTCTGCCGGTTTATCGGATCAGAACCTAACTCTGACCTGTTGCTAACAGAACCACCTCAGTCGGACCAGAGGACTGCAGCAGCTCTGAACCCGTTCCAGAAACCCTCCCAGCCCGTCCAGGTGGGTCTCGTCCTCCGGAACCGTGTGGGTGGGTCGGTTCTGACGGGTCGGCAGCTGCTCTGAGTGACCCGGCTCTCTTCCAGGTGAGGAGAGGCTCCCTGCTGAGCCAGCCGGCCGCCGTGCTGCAGAAGCTGGCCAGCCTGTCTGAGGGGAACCCGCTGGCTCCCAGGAGCTCCAGAGGATTCCTGTTCCAGACGCTGTCGCCTGACGAGGCACCGACGGAGCGCGCTCAGAACCAGGTGAGGCTGGGTGGGCAGGTAGACGCCACCTGCACCCTGCTGACATTTAGTGCAGTAAAATAACCTTTTATAAGCCTGTCCCTGTAAGAAATGAATGAAAAATATCAATAAGCTCAATTTCCATTCCATTGCGGAAACTTAGACTCCAATTTGTTTGTCTTTAGTTTTTATTTCCATTTTTAGTTTTATTGTGAATATTTGACATCTTCCTGTTGCAGTGGGAACATTACCCCGTTATCAATTTATTACTTGAAAACATGATTATCGCAATAATTTCTACGGATTTATGGTCCATTAAAATGTTGTTGTGACATTTTTACAAAATGTACAACTTTGGGATCTAAAAATAAGTTTTGTATCGTTTTGGGATTGTAAGTGTAATTTAAAGATGGTTCAAGGGTGAAACATGAGTCATAACGCTGCTGCTGTCAACAATCTGTTTAGCATAAAATTCTGAACTTTTAGCATCATTAACATATTATTGCTTATTGAACGTTTTAATTTCTGATTGAAATATATTATGCTATGATATACTTCAATCACTAGCGGGGCAGTTAGCTGCTCAGCTAGCGGGGCAGTTAGCTGCTCAGCTAGCGGGGCAGTTAGCTGCTCAGCTAGCGGGGCAGTTAGCTGCTCAGCTAGCGGGGCAGTTAGCTGCTCAGCTAGCGGGGCAGTTAGCTGCTCAGCTAGCGGGCAGTTTAGCTGCTCAGCTAGCGGGGCAGTTAGCTGCTCAGCTAGCGGGGCAGTTAGCTGCTCAGCTAGCGGGGCAGTTAGCTGCTCAGCTAGCGGGGCAGTTAGCTGCTCAGCTAGCGGGGCAGTTAGCTGCTCAGCTAGCGGGGCAGTTAGCTGCTCAGCTAGCGGGGCAGTTAGCTGCTCAGCTAGCGGGGCAGTTAGCTGCTCAGCTAGCGGGGCAGCTGACATGTTGGTGCTAAAATGCAAAAAGTAAAATCTTTTTTTTTCCACTTAACGCGTAATTACATATCATAAAAACTGTTTTGGAATCAGCCACGTGCTTAGTGAACACCAATAACCTGTAAGTAAACAGAATTAGAGTTTTATCCTCCATGCATCTGAGAAAACTCAGGCTCATGGGAAACACCGCCACCCAGTGGTGAAAATCGGTACAACGCAAACATTCATTATGCTTTTTAATTCTGTAAAATTACCAATAAAACAAACTTGTGATCACACTTATGTTTGCCCCACCTCATGTGATCAGGTTTACATTTTGTCATTTATCTGGTTCTGTTAAAACCGCCCGAGTCCCAACAGAATCTGCAGAACCTTTGGCTGCAGAGATCAGCTTCCATGGCTCCACCACTAGAGGGAGCTGTTGCTCTGCACTTGCACAATGCTGATGAGGGTTTTCCTGCTACAGAGTGGTTCTGGTTCTGTTGCGAACAAAGAACCTGTTTGGTTTTCTCATGGTTTGGCTGCGAGTCCATCTCCTCACATGTTGGACCTAAGGTTCTGTTGGGTTCTGCTCTCAGGTGGTGAGGAAGAGGAGCCAGGTGCAGGCGGTGAGCCCGGCAGCCAAGCGGCCGTGCAGACAGAACCGAACCGCTGGACCTAACAGGAGCTCTCAGAGGAGCATCTTCAGCTTCCTGGACCACTGACCTCTGACCTCCACCAGTTCTGATCCATCTTGGACTCAGACCGGTTCAGTTTAAATATTTCATCCTGTATATATTGTCTGATTAATTTTAACCTTTGATGCCGACCGTCTTTGTTTTACAATGTAAATAAAAGCAGATTTTAAGATCCGGTTTGTGTCGCCTCGGAACCGTCTGTTAGCTAAACCTCAAACCAGACCACAGAGTCCGACCCGACCAGTTCAACTGGTCCAAACCAGTTCAACTGAAGCCATTTTATTTTAAACTGGATTTTCTGACCTAGGAAGTGACATCACTATGCATTGAACCAATGACCTGCTCCGACTCCAGCTGATTGGTGGAGGATTCTGTGGCTATTATCTGAAGTTCTGCTGAGTTTACAGAGAAACATTTTAAACCAAGACTAGATCCACCAAATCGGAAAATATAAAGTTTGGAACGGATCCAGTTTACCAGTGCTGGGAAGGTTCATAGTGACCTTTAACCTTTGCCTCTGAGAGAATTATCAATGCATAACATTAACACACAATAAATGCTGTTACACATGGGAAACTCACTTCTATATTATGTTCAGAGTTGCAACCCAAACTGCTGGTTGACTAGTTTACTTGTAAACCAGACAACCTGTAAGGTCAGCAGGATCATGAAGGCTAATGATGCTAATGCTAGCAGCCATGCTGCACAGAGCAGCTTAATGAGCATCTGCTTGGACCAGGCCTGGAGAACTGAAGCGGTTCAGGAACCGAGACTGCTGGTTCCTCTCCGAACCTTCGGGAGTTTGATCATCTGGACCTGCAGAACCGGGCTGGAGGACTTTCTCCTTCCTCCTGTCGCCTGCACGGCTCGGAGCCTAATGGGTCTCTAATGACGGGCTGCGGTCCAAACGAGCCCTTCATGTCGCTCCGTCTCATTAGGAGGCTCGGTGATTAGAGGCGGGTCCCGCGGTTTGGAGCGGGCCCATTAAGCATCACTCGGGGCCAGCAGCAGCGGGGCCCGCCTGCAGAGCCGCCGGTTCGACTGCGCATCGATCATTGCGCTCCATCAGGAGAAACCCTCCGGTTCGGTTCGGTTCGCAGGGTCACCGAACCGGATCTGATTGGAGTTTAATAGCAACATTTTATCTGAATCTTCCGGAACAACTTGGTTTAAGCCTGCAGAGGTCAGAACATGCTGAGGATCCGGGTCACTCAGAGGCTGCAGCACAACTTAAATTTAGTGTAACATACAGTGAACATTTAGAACAAACGTAAAAACGCAACCCAGAAAAAAAGAAGCAAAAACAGTTTAAAAGTCACAACCCAAAGTACTGCTGTTCATTTTTGACTCTAGCTTTACCACTGCCTGGTTCTGGTTCTGCAGGCCTTGCACTGGGTCCGATGGTGCAACAGGTGCTGCAGGCCGGGTTCGACCCAAACAGAGCAGCTTTGTGCAGGAGGTGAGCGGTTCTGATGCTGCTCTGTTTGCTCAGCATGTTACTGTTTCAACTGACTCTTTGTCACTGGCATCGGCGGCGCTGTGTGTGTGTGTGTGTGTGTGTGTGTGTGTGTGTGTGTGTGTGTGTGTGTGTGTGTGTGTGTGTGTGTGTGTGTGTGTGTGTATGATGAGACCGCAGGGTTGTGTTTGATGTATTTTTCATGTGCTGAGGCTACTGCAGGAGGATGAGGAGAGAGGAAGGCAGGAAGGACGCCGGCAGCTGATGCACTTGAATGGAATTCTAGTTGAAGGAGAACGGGGATAAAAGTGTGTGTGTGTGTGTGTGTGTGTGTGTGTGTGTGTGTGTGTGTGTGTGTGTGTGTGTGTGTGTGTGTTTTGAGGGTTGCTCTTCCTGCCAGCAGCAACAACATGTCAGGAGGGATGAGAGACGCTGAACTTGTTAAATCTGTGTGATGTTGCCTCTCTGCATACCACACACACCCTGCAGCCTTCTGCATGGTCTCGCCTGGCACTGTTGCATTGTGGGTAACGCCTACCAAACACTGCAGGTTGAATCAGATGAACCTGGTGTTCATGTCTGCAGCCTGACTGAAGGATTTCATCTGCTTGTTGTTTAAACTACATTTCCCAGAATGCACCAAAGGAACTCATGATGTGCTGAAGAAAGTTTCACTCTAGCAGCAGGTCAGGCAGCGACTGACTAAAGGTCAGCCAGAGATCTGCAGCAGGTCCAGACAGAGTGGCTGTGTAAAGGTCAGAAGGTCGTCGGCGTTGTGATGTTCTGTGATCTCATCCTGGATCCGCTTCGTGCTTTAAAGTGTTTGGTTGACAGAACATCATGAGCTGCTGGAGCGCGTGACTCGAACGCGTCCCTCTGGAAACAAAGGAAGCCTTCAATGTTCCCACCAGATGAAGCGATTCCTCTGCAGATCCTCCTGATCCTCACAGAAATCCCTTCTGATCAACTTCAGTTCATTTACAAAAGCAACAGACTGATTTGATTTCTCATGTTTCATTCATATTCTGAAAGTTTTGGCTGCAGTTTGTAAAGTTAAACTGAAATAATAAAAACTGTTACAGGAGAAAAAGTTCTATTTTCACTGTTATTTTCTGACATAAGTATTTAGTTTCACTCCAAGCTAAATGTTTAGTTTGTAAGGAAAATATAGTTAGTGTAATACATTTTACTAAATATTTATAAAGCTAGCCTACTTTGGTGTTGGGTTAGGTTATTGACAGAACTCTATTTTTGCTTCCTAAGGATTTATTTGAATGCAAACTTTTGTTTGGAGCTGAACATTTAGTTTGAAACTGTGACATTAATAAAAGAATTAATAACAGTGAAAAATAAACCCCCATTTTCTTCTCACAAGGCTAAATAACCAAATTATTGCTGTGAATTTTTGACTCAACCGGCACCCGTAGTGAAACCTGAGAAACATGAGAGCCCAGGACTCAGCCTTGGGGAACAGCAGCAGGAGACAAAACATCCTGCACACATCCAGTTTCTCCTGGAGCCACCAGGGGGCGCAAAGCTCGCCGTTCCTCTGCTGAATGGTTCTGATCCATTCCTTTCATGCTGGAGCAGAGATTCAGGAATCAGAGTTTCTGGTTTGCAAACAGGAACTCTGTGTCTTCCTGCAGGATGTTGGTCACACGGAGGGAGGAGGAGGAGCAGCAGGGAGGAAGAGGAGGCAGATAAACATCAGCCAGGAGCGCGAGAGGAGGAGGAGGAACTGGGAGGGCGCAGCGACCAGCAGCGGCTCCAGCGACCAGAACCAGTAGAAAAGGTAAGAACCATGAAGAGCCGATCACACGGCGAGAGGAGGAGGAAGAGGAGCGGGGATGGGGTGAGTTACGTCAGGAGCCTGGACCGAACCTCCTGGCTCGGTTCACCAAACCATCCAGAATCGGAGCGGAGCTCAGACAGACCTGGTTCGGTTCGGTTCGGTTCGGGTTCATCTGCTCCATTTTGTCGCATTTTTCAGGCTCTGCCGCAGGATGAGAGGCGGGCGGGTTCGCGGATCAAAGCGAACCGAGCCTTCATCAACATCAGTGCACGCGCGCTCCCGTCTCGGTCACGGTCCGTCCTTCAGCCTCACGTGCGCGCGCGGCGCGTGCTGGGGTCTGATTGACAGCTGCCTGCAGTCAGGACGATGATGATGATGATGATGATGATGGAAGCGCCCATAGGTCACGCATCAGTGCGTGTGCGCATGCGTGCATATTGGGTTTTATCCGGTGGATTATAATCTGCTGCTGCTCGGCGGTTCTGACCCAGTTGGTGCTCCAGCCGGTTCTGGTTCGGTTCATTGTCTGCTTTCGTGTCTGATTCGGTTCGATCCCCCCTGCTGGGTTGAATCTGGACCGGCTCCTGTCCATGCTTGGCCCGGTCCAGTACTCCGTGGCCTGCGCTCCTATGAAGAGTTGACTGGTCAGGGGTCAAAGGTCAGGGTTGGGACCGAACGGCCTGCGTCGTAACGTCACATCCAAAGACAGGCAGCACAACAGAACAGATTTAAATGACAGTAAAAATATTTGGGCTGCAGAAATATGAAAAAATTATTTCCATATTTTACTTTTGAAAACTGATTTTATTGTGTATTTTTGTGTCAGATAAATAAAGAATACATGTTCTAATATTTAATCAGTCTGACTAATAGAGATATGATATTTACCCATAAACCATCTGTTTTATGCAGCTCAGTTATTTTGGTAAAAAGTGGAGAAAATAACATTTTGTTATATAAAACAACAAAATGGAACTAAAACGTTCTTTTTAAGAGAAACTATGAATGTTGTGACTTTATGAACCAAAACAATAAATTCATCAGTTTTTCCTCCAGCCTGAGAAGAAAACATTTGTTTAGAAATTATGATGAAAATGAAACCAAGCAGCTTTTTATTCCACTCCCACTAACAGACATTCATTTCATAATTATGTATAAAGTTTTCCCTGAAATGATTTTATGCAAAAGAAATTCTAAATAAATATAAATTCCTGCGTTTTGAGACAATAAACGTTTTTTCAGTTTCTCCTTCTGCTCGCTGATTGGCCCGGTAGAAAAAGCAGCAGGGGTCACAGGAAGGTCAGACCTTCCACCCTGTGTTTGGGTCTGAGCCGCAGTCCAGAATCGGACCGGTCCGGTTCCGGACTGAGAGGCAAAGCAGCTGTTGATCCGGGTGATGAGGTTCCAGCTCCTGGTTCAGTTCTGCTGTGTCTCCTGTGTTTCAGTGAGACCCAGTCCAGGTCAGAGATGCTGCAGCATCAGGACCAGCATCAGAACCGGGCCTACAGAGGCCCGGACAGCTCCCCCCTCAGGAACAAAGACAGCAACTTCAACTTCCTGCCAGGCGCCAACGACGAAGTCCAGGCAGAAACCAGGAGAGGAGGCGATGAGAACCGGAACCAGGTCCGACCCCGGAACCTGCCTCTGGGTCGCGACCCCCAGAGTTCGCCAACTTCCGGCTTCAACTCGAGCCTGATGTCGCCTCGCTCCCGCATGCCCTGCTGGAGCCCACTGGAGCCGCTCCCTGAAATCGAGACCGGGGACGACGGGTACGGACGGGTCCCGCCGGACGGAGCGGAGGAGTGGCGGATGGAGGAGGAGAGGATGATGATGCTAGATGAGAAGAAGGAGCGCCAGAGAAAGGAGGAAAACCCGGATGACGAATGGGGAGACAGCGACTCGGAGTCGGAGTCCAGCTGGCGCTCCGGCGGCAGCGTCTCCTCCCTGAATGTGGAGAGCGGAGGCGAGGCGGGGCGCCTGGGCGGCCCGGACCGGATCGGCGTTGGAGAGCCCAGATCAGGCAAGCCTGGAGCCGGGCCGACCAGAGCCGGAGATGCGAGACAGAGGAGCTTCAGCGACAAGCCGCCGGCCGGGAGCGACCTGGAGAACCTGGCGGGGGACCAAAACCACAGCGACGACCAATCCTCAGACTCGGACGGCGAGCCGCCGGAGCTGATGGACGCCGTGTGGACGCTGCGGGACCGCGAGCGCTTCAAGGCGCAGGAGATGGAGAAGCACCAGGTGCAGCTGACCATGTACCGCCGGCTGGCGCTGATCCGCTGGGTGCGCACGCTGCAGGGCCGCGTCCAGGAGCAGCAGAACCGCCTGCAGTCCAGCTTCGACGTCATCCTGACCCACAGGAAGGAGCTGCTGCGGATGGGAGCCGCCGCCGCTTTCGCCCAATCATAGGAGGAATACAGTGTGATGTCACAGCGCCTGTCTCATTGTGTTTGTGATTTTAAACAGTCAAACTCGTTTTTCTGTGTCTGTAAATGTGTGTGACTCTCTGCTGAACCCCAGAGCTCTACATCAGTGTGACGCCGCCATGACGCCCCGCCATGACGCCGCCATGACGACCCGCCATGCTGGCCAGATGTTACTATGATGTTACTATGATGTTACTATGATGTTACTATGACGATACTACCATAACATTGTGATTATACTATGATGAAACCATGACAACCAGTGTTGATACCATGGCAACAGAGGCAGATGAACTCTGAACCTTCTGTCTTTATTCCTGAACATTTTGTGTTTCTATCTGATTTATCATCCCAGATTAAAGAAGTTATGTGAA